TCTTTTTTTTTTTTTTTTTTTTTTTTTGTAGGAGGACGATTACAAGGAGAGGCGAGCGTACCATCGGGTAAGTAGGACAATCATCTTCCCTTGTACGATAGTTTTCTAGATAAATTCGTAGATCCTTCAGATCGTGAATTGCCCGCGAACGATCTCCCTCTCTCTCTGTTGTCTCAGGGTTCGCCGCTGCTTTCGCCAGATCATCTGCCCTCCTACCAGAACAGCTTGATCGAGCAGCTAATTCGCCAGCAGCAACAGCAGACAGAGGAGCGGACCAAAGACACGGAGGAGAACGACTGCACGTTGAAGCCACCGCCACCACCGCCGCCTCCAGTGCCCTGTCACACGCCCGGGCATCAAGCGAGCAACACCCCTTCTTCCAGCTGTTCTTCCCAAACCTCGCAGAAATCCTCCAACAGAAACGCCGCGTCACCTGCTCGACACGCGGACCACGAGCGCAAACAGTGGATGCAGGAGGCATTGAAGGATTGCTCGAAGAAGATGGACGGTCTCTCTGTACGTGGTCAGTCGCAAACAAGTGGAGGAGGAGGAGGAGGAGGAGGAGGAGGAGGCGGAGGTGGAGGAACGGTTGCGATTAGATTGGCAGATGCTTACTCGAACCACGTGTGGAGCGAAACGGAGCACATCTACGAGACTATACCCGAGTCTGACAGCGAACCGATATATTCCTCGCCGTACGAGCATCACAGACAGTGGCATCATGCGAATCATACTGCGAACGTCGTCACTACTGGACAGACGACAATCACGACTACAAACACCAACACGTCGAACACGGGGAACCAAACGGGAAGATGGTACTGTTCCTCGAAGAGCAATAGCTCCGGCGAGGAGAAGGACAGCTCGAGCGCGTATAATACCGGCGAGTCTTGCAACAGTAACCCTCTCACGCTGGAGTTGCAACGTGGCGAGAAGGATCATCACAAGAGCACGCTGGTCCTCTGCCCTCCGAAAGCGTCGTTGCAGCAACATCAGCAACAACAGCAGCAACAGCAGAGGCTCGGCTGCACGTGCCCTACGTTCACCAACAGACAGATCAGAAACCAGTCGAATAAAAGAGGCTCGAGTTCCCATCACTACAGAGATCGTGCGGCGGATCCGGCGAACGCCAGCAACTTACCCGCAGACACCATGTACACGAACATGGCTAATCTTCAGCAGACGATGCTGTTGCAGCAACAGTTGTTTAAACAGGCGCTTGACCGCAGAAACTCGACCATCGGCGGATCGCGGGAGAGCAGCAGCGTCACCGCGGTCGCTACTGCTGCTGGCACCGCGAAGAAGTCGAGGTCGCACGGTAATTTCCAAGCGCCGAATTTAACCCGATATCAGTTTGTCGGTAGCCAGCAGGTGTGCGCGTCCAGCTCCTGGATACCGCCGGAGAACAAGGGGGACGAGGTGCAAATGGAGTGGAAGGTGAAGAGGAGAGCGGACGGAACCAGGTACATAGCACGGAGGCCGGTTAGAAATCGCATTCTGAGAAACAGAGCGATCAAAATATCGGAGGAGAGGGCTGGCCACAGCACGGAAGATGACACCATGTCGGAAGTGAAGGTGACGAACTCTGAGTTTCAGTAACGTCAGCAGCTTCTCTTGTAAAGCGTCGTGGTGTAGTAATTGATGGCTTGATGATCTCAACATCAAAGAGATTCGAAGTTTCTTGAAACTATGAAGATACACGAGCTGTTCCCAATGTAATATCATACGGCCAAATTTTTGTGCGAATTTTTGTGCCCTTATAGAAGATCTTTACAAGAGATTTTTAAGTTCCAAGTTGCACATAATGCGCACAATGTGGAAACATATATAATGTTCAGAGTACATTAATTTCTATAGTATATTTGCAAAACAATTTTCTACCGGGCCTCTATCTTTTTTACTATATATTCTCAAAAATATGAATTTATTTTTTGATAAATTTTCAATCTTGAATCTTCGAGATTTCAAAGATTTCTTGAAAAGGTTTTCCTGTATCGTTTGACAATTAACAAAAGCTTGAATTTGGACACTTCAAACTTTTGTTAATGCTTTATTTCGACATACGGCATCAACAAAAACAACACATATTTATAAGATATTATACTTGTAATACATTTGTAAAATATTAATACTTATCTAGCTGTTAAACCTATCAAAACGCTCAAGACTTTCGTAGGCAAGACTTCAAATCACATTCGAGAGAATTCATATTTTTTCGTCCTATGTACAAATTCGAAATGGTTAGAAATGTTTGAGATCCCATTACTAGTCGCAGGCTAGCTTTTTTCTTTTCTTTTTATTTCTTCTCTCACACACAATTATCCCTGGTGCCTCAGGTGGGCAAATACTGGACCAAGGAGGAACGTAAGAGACAGTTGGAACGTGCTCGCGAACGCAAACAAAGGCAACAGGAACTTCAACTGCAGCAACAGCAACAACAACTTCAACAGCAGCAGCAGCAGCAACAGCAACAGCAGCTTCAAATGCAGCAGACCAACGAATTGTTGACGTGCGAGCATGGAGAGCACGAGAAGCTTCCGAAGAAGCCGCTGAATATCGTGGAACTCAGTCACAAAAAAATGGCTCGTAAAAAGAACACGTTGGACGATTTCACTACTGTTCAAGAGATGTTGGTTCACGGGAACAGGGTCGGTAGCGCGGGAGGTCCCGGCACTGGTGGCAAACTGATGGGCCTTCTTTCGGTGACGACCGTTTGAATCGTAAGAATCCGCGTGAAGATCTGTAACAGTGGCGGAAAAAGAATTTCTTCGTTGTTCCTGCGTGCTTCCTTTTGTTATATGTGTCTCGCCATAAGTGATCTCGTCAATGTTCGATCGTTTTCCAGACTCTGTTCAACGTTCTTGTAATTATTGTCTTTAATCGACGCGCATACACAAGATCGATATATATATCACCGTTCTACAAATGTTCACTGCCCTTTTCTTTCACGTCAATCTCGCCGTTTTATCTTTGTGTTTATTTGGCTACGAGAACCGTGACTGAACTCCATCTTGTTCACCAATGACTTACAAGAAAGCGAAACGGGTCGTTTATGGTCGTCGAAATAACGTGAACTCCGAATACGGTTGTACATATTTCTCGTATAACGATATAAATGTATGTAGATTATTTTACACGAACTGAAACTTTTGTGGATAAAGAAGATAGAACGAGTACGCTTTTGTAGATATGTACAATAAACGTAACGTAATGGTATAATTATGAATAAAACGCGAATGAAAAACTGTGAATCATGGCCCTGTGACCTACGGAGAAGGACGAGAAAAGGAAAAAAAAAAGAATATCTGCGTCGTCTCGTGCAATCTTTCCTTGCAAGCGAGTCGATTGAACGACACGAAACATTGAGTTGCCATGCGAACACAAAATGTAATAAAACAGGTAAAATGTGCCGTAACAAAAATATATATGTATATATATATACATATACATATATCACATATATATACATATATCATATATATATGTGATGTATGTATATGTGTATACATATATACATATACATACGAAAAATTACATATTTTATTACGAAATTCGAAAATCCTCATCATCGACATGTGTATCTGTTCATGTGTCTATTTAACGACCTATCTATCCATCTGTTTATTGCATGAACGATGCGTTGATGTTTAAGCTGCTTAAAACCTTCCGTTCCGGAATATTTAGATGCTGAATGTACGCTGGAAAGCAGTGATGAGTCGAAAAATTTAATAAAAAGTCTCGCAAGTATTGACTCAGATTCAAGTGATAGATGGAATCTTGCAGTAAATCCGGATCGTCCTCGTCTTCCTCGATTTCGTTCGCTGCTTCTCCCAACACTAATTGATAAAATGATAATTTTTCGTGTTAAACAAGAATATATTATAACGTTGATATATTAGTATAAAATGATTAACGAATAATCAAGACGTGCCGACAACACCACAGAATCGCACTTCACTTACATAACATAGTTTCGTAACCTGGATCTAAGTAGGCGTCCTCACCGTCATCTTCGTCGTCGTCATTGTCTGAATCCTGCGCGTTAAAGATTTGATTAGGTCGCGCAACAAAGATAAAATATCAAAGATATTATCATACGTTGTCACTAACATCCGTCTCTTGGCTAGCGGCGACGGCTTCGATGTCGTTCGACAACTCATTGATTATCAGCTTGAATATTTTCACCAAAACAGGTATGGTGGTCCATTGATAAGGCTGTGATTCGGCTTTACTCCTAGTCCTCACGCCTTCTTCATTTCCTACGTATTCTCGAATTTTTATTAGTCACTCGCTGGTTTGCAATAAATATTTTATCGACATCTTCTGTACTAATTGAGATTTAAAATAAACATTCAAAGGAATTAACGAAAAAAAAAAAAAGAGACAACGATCAAAATATTTCCCCCACATGTTGAAGTATCACAAGTTAACATAACGAAAAGATATTTGTAGTACGTTCAACTCCAATCGGATGTTCCCATTACCTAGAGTCTAATTTGTACGACGTTTCGAATACAAACCTGAGAATATTTGATCTCCCTTGACCGTGATGTCGTTTAATCGACTGTCGCCGTGAGTAACACCGTATTCCAATATCTTGCAAAGCGCGACTGTTGCTACCTTTCGGTCGTATTTGCCGAAAAATAAGTGTTGCCTGCTGACCCACTCAGAGAGTACGAAAGCGAGAGCGCTTTGTCCTGTCGGACCGGGTACGGTTGATAGAAAATTTAGGACAGCGTCAAATTCTGTATTTATAAGATGAGCGTATATCATGAGCAAACTCTGTACCACGGTCAACGTCCCAGCTCGTTGCATCTTACTCAACACAGCTTTCAATAACAAATCGAGATTTTCGCCCAATGTATTTCCTGCCTTCCTAATCAATGTTGTCACCAATCGTCCGACGAAAGTCGCTGTAAACTCGCTCGACTACAAATGCGACGCGCCTCGTTAAAAGATCAATTCGTTTATAATATAGATACTTGTGGTGGACACAATATAGATAAATCAGCAGAAACAAATCCAACAGTTGAACCAAAGTTATTAAGTTACCTGCGGATTCAACAGCTGAGCAACGATTTGTAATATATATTGCAGACCCGTTTGACCGTCATTGTCTCGATGTACAGTCACTTGTCGCGCCGCGACAGCTAGATAAGTCCGTATTACTTCCCCGCCACTTTGTAACGTTTCGTTGTCCTCTGAATTCAAAATACAGTGGCACGCAGCAGGGAACGCAGTTTCGATCAACGCACTGCTCAATGGTTTAGGAGAGTATTGCACCAATACTTGCAAAACATCTAGAGCTACATTTCGACATCTTTCTGTTGTACAAACAATCGGAGCATATAATTACGAATTAGTTTATACGAGCAATCATTGCTTAAATATGTTTAATTTTTAATAAGTTTTACCATCATTCAATTTATCCATAGGTGTTACAGCCATCATACTGGTTAACGTCGGTATCAAACGAGTTTGTAATGGTCCTATACAATCAGAATTTTGTGTCAAGCTTTTAAATATATCTTGACACAGATTCAAGATTTCAGGATCGCTATAAAACTTGAGGAATGCAGCGATGGTTAAAGGGCAAATTTTATTTTCCACTGAAGCGGTAAATGCTTTGTCCAACTGCGAAATTAAACAAAATCTAATATAATTAAATCAAAAAAATCTGATATAAAATAGTAAAGAGTAAAGAAAGATAATTTAGATATTACCGAAACAAGGACTTGCAAAGTTTCTAGCACTAGTGTCAAAATTTCCGTGGATGCTTGATTGGCTAAACTAAAAATTCCTTGAAATATATTTGGCAAATGAGATCGTATAATATTGCCAAGAGTACTATTATTCTCTTCCACTGATGCTTTACAAAACCAGTAAATAGCTTTTACTGCACTGATGCGAATACACGAAAGTTGATTCTCTTGCAACCCATTAACAGTTGCTTCCAAAAATCGTGAACTTATCTCTGGTGGCATTATCTCGGCGTATTTTCCACCAATGCACAAACAACGACCAAGGAGTAATGGCGGTGCTCCTAAAATTTGGCAATTTGTGATATAACAAACAAATAAATACCAAAAAAAAAGGAAGAAACAATTTTTATAGAAACGAAATAAAGCCAAATACCTGAATCCTTTAAAGTATCTAAAATGATTGTATCTAAAAATCTAATAATATCGAATTGAAGCATTCCAGCTTTTTGTCTTTCCACCACAACGTCTTTTACTTTACTTAACGCTAAAATAGACGACTCTCGTAATTTCCACCATGTTTCATTATTTGCAGTTTGTAATCTATTAGTTGCTTCAATGTGACGCGTTACAACCTCGCAAAGTGCATTCACCGCCTTTTCCTCGGAATAATTCACTAAAGCCTGCAGTCAAACAAATTGATCATAAAAAAGAAAAATTCATTTTAAATATTCATTCATTACCAATTAACTGTTTCAGTTGTTTCTGAAAGATTACCGTTAAGAGCTCTTGCGCCGAAATGCGAACATTATAAGTTAGTATGTCATCTTCTTCAACAAACTGGTTGGGATTAGTTGTCCACAATTCGATTTGATCATCTGTTATTTGCATGAAGATTATTAAATAATACATCACTTCTTGCAATAAATTATCCAAAAGATTTGAAAATCGTTTACGATCCACGATAGAATGAACAAATTCAAATATGGCAATAATCAAATTATTGAAGTTAATTATTTCACCTATCAAAATAGAAGCACATTGAAAACAGATATACCTTCGACGATTACAAATTAAATCTCTAAAACTTACCATCTGAATCAACTTGTTTGTCATTTGTATCTCCCTTTCCATTTACAAATTCTTCTTGATAAATTTTCGCACTTTGCACTAAAGTTTCCCAAACGGGCGGTAACATCTGAGGTAAAAAAGTTGAGACATATTTAGGTAACTTGATAACTAGGCAATTTATAGCTTTGATAACGTCGGTCTTAAGCCCGCTGTCGCAAGTTGGACCATCAGGCAGTCGTAAACAGTAAACAAATTTTTCACAAAACATAGGTATGACAGGTTGTAAATATTGCTCTGTAAAACCTTTTTGATATACTCCTGTAACAGCAACTAACGTTGTAATTGTTGTAAAAATTTCAACGGCTCGACCACGGATTCTAATGGAATATTGCTAAAAAAAAAAAAAAAAAAGAATGATCAGTGTTATGACTATTTTCAGGACAATACTTAATTATTTTTTTATTTAACTAATATATTTTATTTAATATATACCTTATTTAACTAAAAAAAAAATTAACAAACTTACATTTTCGCTTTGAAATATTCTATACATTTCTTGAAGGATTACTGGTCCCACATTAGGCAACTGATTATCAGTAAGATCAGATGTAAATTCTGTTAAAACTCTCATAGCTCCATGAACAGCATATTCATTTTCCCCACTTAAACAGCTTACAAGTATATCAAACAAACCTGGCCAATTCTCTGGCCAGTCCCAGTGTGCAATTGCTGATATTGCATAAGCTACTGCTGTACGTACCTGAAGACAAAATCACTTTTATATACATAATATATGCAATACATATAAAGCTAATTATAAATGAATTACCTTACTAATGGATTCACGGAGTCCTAATGGCAGTAATTCTTTTATTCTTTCCTTTGTTGCATATTTTATTTCAGGAGGTCGAAATTTCTCAGCAACAGAAGACCAGTGAGTTTCAACATATTGCTTTAATAATACAGAAGCTAACTGTCTAATAGGTAAATGCCCATTTGGATCTACTACAAATTCTGATAAATGTATACCAAATTCCTCTGTAACTTCTAACGCTTGGATTCTTTGTTCAGCTGCTTGACGAGTCTCTCTATGAGGAGACAAAATACCACTTAATGTCTCATATAAAGCTTCTCTCAAAGAACCTTGGACATCCATGCTTATTATGAGAACTTCAGATTTTTTACACTTCACTTTCTAAAATGCTTTTTTTTACGAATGCGATTAAAATTTATATTTTAATTTTTTTAATTTTATATTCAATGTATATAATATTTATTTACCTGAACACATATCCTTGATAAGTTGTTATTATCCTATTAGACAGTTAGCACAAGTACTTGTTAACATTACCAATTGTTTTAATCTCTTAAAAATAATTTCTCTGCAATTAATAGGATAATTATAAACAAAAAGAATTTTACACATGGAAATAAGTAATTAAATGATGTTATTACTATTAACTAATAGTTGTACAATCTGAAAGATTAATATACATATATATGTATATATATGTATACATATATATATACACAATTTGTAACTAATGAAATGATTCACTTTTAAAATACATAAAATTGAAATCAAATTTATTCTATTTCTAAGAACATACTCTACTTCTCGCATGTCATTATTCAACAAAGCCGGCTTAATTGAATGACACAAAAGGTTAGATTATATCTGAGATAACATACAAATAGAAAGTAAATGCTTTTTAATCTTAATATTATGCAAAGAATGCATTTATACGTTTTATCCTAAATTTCTTTATAATAACAAATGTTTATTATGGATAACTTTGTAAGTTTTTACAACTAAAATCTTACGTACACGATCGAGGTAGAAGCGACATAAACGTCTGTGCGCGCGCGTTGTGTAATTCAAAATTAGCTATTGCATATATGATTCACTTACACGTACATAAACCATATATAATATATGTGTATATATATTTTATATATATACAAGTCTCAAAAAAAATTTAATTAAGAATAATATGACACTAATATAATTAATATATTAGGATCAGTAAATAAAAACATGAAGGAAACAGAAAATATTTTTCAAATTCACTTCATTTGTTGTCACATAAAATTTTTAAATTTGAAATAATTTTATTCTGATAATAGTTTGTGAAAATTAATATACATAATTAATATATATAACGCTAAAAAAGCATATCAAATAAAATAACGTGAAAGGCAGAATTATAAGTCGATCGTCTTTGCAACAAATTTAATCAGCGATAAATTATTTTTATTTCCATTTCATCCCTTTCCTGTTTGATTTACAATTTATTAACATTGCAAGTACAACGTGTGTGTCGCAGAACATATACACATAAACAATAGTGATTTTTACTACCACCAATTAAATTGTCGCATTATACTATCTATACAAATTCTTGATATCTTACAATGAAAAAAATTTAAATTAAAAAAATAATTCAATCTTTAAATCTTTTCCTAGACCTTTTCAATTAATTAGATATATGCACAATAGTTAATAAATATCATCAATAAAGATGGTATTTGTTAATCAATATCGCTAAAGATATTCATTCTATATGTAAAAATTAGCAAAAAATATACAAGATTTAAATATTCTACGTAATAAAAAAGTTTATCGTTAGACATAGCTAAACGTGAATCGTCCTAGAAAAAGTATTAAAGGTCGTACAATAACTTATACATAAAAATAAAATATTAACAAAAATTAATAGTGCCCAAGTCTGCAATAGTGTGACACTATTGGTAATAACGAATATTTTCAAAAATTATTTTTCAGGTACTATTATGCTAAAATTTCTTCGGCCTTTTTTCCAGTTAACTTCATTAAATCAGAATGAATCCTAAATTGTAATCTGGATTCCAACAGATATCCGGTATATGATTTTCTAGAACAAATAAAATAATTAATAAATATTAAACATCACATGAACACCCGAAATAGATATTGATTACTTGGCATCCTCTAGATATCCAATAGCGAGTTGAATGTTTCCTTGATCTTGTGCTAACAAAGCTAATTCTACTGTTGCATAAGGAAGTAAATATGTATCCTCCTTGATTGACTTGTCCAATTCAAGAACGCGTTTTAAACAATTTTCGGCTAACAAACGATGTTTCATTTGTCGTAAGCATGCACCCTTTAGAAGCAATAATAATCCTTTATTATCCGCGTGATATTCTGTTTTCCTATAAAATAGTTGAAATTTTTTATGCTACTAAACAAATGTGCCAAACTAAATCAAAAAAATAATCGGTCAGAAAAACTCACGAAACTTTTGTAAGTTCTTTTTCAGCGTCTTCGATTACTTTAAACATATTTAACGTCAAATCTTGTCGTTTGCCTACTATGCGAAACAAATTCCACACAAACATAAGTTCAAATATAGGAAGAACTAACTTCTTTTTTTGAGCAAAGTACCGTTCAGTTTTTTTTATTACAAATTTTTCCATTGGTAATGACTTTCCTGCAATACGTTGTTTATAAGTAGGCGCTTGCATCATTAAAGTATCTATCAGTTGCTTCTCTTCACTTTGTGCCGGTGGTTTACGCATCATAAGTATCGCAGCCCTTTGATACAAATAAATTGTACGCGACCAATGTGATTCTGTAGCTAATGTGTCTGCAAACGTTGCAGCTTGATCCCATTGTTGCAACGAACAATGTGCCCACATTAATTCCCAGAAACAAATATGATGAAATTGAGGCCATAGATCTTGACTTTTCCACGACCTAGTATACCATTCCAATGATTTTTCAAAATTCCCTCTCGTTAGTTCTAGTCTGCCTTTAAAAAATAAAAACCATACACCGTTTGGATAAAGACTCAATTCTTCTGTTAAAACTTTTTCACACCAGTCTAGATCACCGTCTGTATGACTCAGAACAAATGATATTATTAAATTATAAGCTAAAAGAAACATGGAGCACAATACGTGCCGTAATCCTCTTCTTTCTCTGTATCCTGCTTCTAATTCCGACAAACCATACTCCTATTGAAACAATATTTTATTAACATGAGATGAAAATATTTATACAAAAACTTTTCGTATCAAAGAATATTTTAGTACCTTATCACCTGAAAATCCAATAAACTCTAGGAGTTTGATAATTTTCGCTGGTAATAGAGAGATCATCTGAAAAATTCTCAAAGATAGTTATTGTATCTTATTTTTTGCAATAAATATTATTAATTCTACATACCAAATTAAATGCACCAATACCAGTACGAACACCACTCTCAAAATGTATTTTATGAGCATTGTTTTCCCATTTGCGATTATTTAAAATTGTTAAACATTCTCTGAAAGAGGATAATGTACATAAAATGATATATTGTTTTTTTTTTCATGGATATAACGTCAATATAGATAATTCATTGTAAGATTTGTTTACTTATATGACAAAAAGCAAGTACGAATTTTTAATCCAGCTTTAACAAAGCTAACCAAAGTCTCGTCCTCCACAAACGTGAGCATCGATTTTAAAAAAAGTGATTCAGCATAACAGAGTTCCGCGTGTATTTCCTCTGCAATAGTAATTCCATATCATTTCTTGCATGCTTAATGGTTTATAAATGTCAGTTCCACAACACGTTATAATAAGTATTTATATAAGTAATTATTAAAAATTGAAACGGTGAAATTGTAGAAAAACTACTTTCTCTTCAATTTCAATGTTTTTTAAATATGTTGTACAAATCAATATTTTAAATAGCTTTCTTCTATACATATAACCGGCAGTTAGATTTAGTTTCCGGGATATTCGCAAAAAATTTCCAGTTTCTTTGCGAATATTTCGAAAATTAAAGCCAATCACTAGTTATATGCAAAGAAAAAAATTGTTCAAAATGTTGATATCTATCA